CACGCGCACGGCCAGCACCCAGCACCAGCACCAGCACCGGCACCCTGCACCGGCACCGGCACCGGCGCCTGGCACCCTGTCTCCACCACGCGCACAGCCAGCACCCAGCACCAGCACCGGCACCCTGTCTCCACCACGCGCGCAGCCAGCTCACAGCACCAGCACAAGCACCGGCAGCGCACAGGCAGCTCATTGTTATTTGAAGTAAGAACCCCATAGCTTTGCTATCTGGGGAAAAAGGAACAAACTGCTGTGCGTCTATAAAAGCGCATCAACTGTTCCCACAACTTGTTTGATATCTTGCGCCAAGATGCGATGCAGCTCTGGGGGACATCTCGTCATCACTCCTGAACATCAAAGCATAAAGCCCTTTGAGCACAATATATAATTGTCTTCACATTAGATAAAGGATGCGCACTGAGCCCAAGAAAAACAAATGCCATCTCCAAATGTCTGACTGGCTGACATCCAAAGAGACCCTCATGGGCCTGGCCATCTGTCGACGCCATCTCCACCTGGAAATAGCATACACAAGCCTTTTGAGATGCCTGGTTTGTTAAAAACGGAATGAACATCTTCTTCTGATCACCGCGCAAAAGACTGGTCTGGCCGCGAAGGAAGAGTGAGCAGATGGAATCGTTAGGGATTCACCGAAATCATCGCTGAGGAAGATGACCAATTTAGTCTCGATTAAGCTCAGTGGAAATTATGTTCTACCAACGTTCTCAGACCAGATCAGCTTCGGTACTTTTCAAGTCTGGTGCTCCACTGTTTATCTTTTGGCCCTTAAAGGATTGGTGTATGTGGTACATACACATAAATAGAATATTCATCATAGAATACTGTTCTTAGCGATGCTGAAATACATTGAAGTACCCTCCAGGTCTGCCTCACAGGCCTTCGGATGAAGCTCCTGAGTGATCTGCTGAGCTTGAGATGACAAGGCACACTGTAGAACCGTGAGCATCCTGACCCCTCTGCTTACCATCTGCTTACAACGGGCGAGAATACAGTCCTTCAAACAGCATAGAAGAGGTCAGGAAATTAACGTTTTTACAATATGGTCTTCACTTTGTGTGGCTAATGCTCACACCCTCAGATGGAGATCCAAATCGTCTATGGGCCCTGTCTCCGGCAAGATTATGGCAGTCAAGCTGTGCAGGGAATGCGTCTTCCTATTGTTCTTTAAGCGCACTGCACAAGAACACCCAAGTCCTAGGCGTCCGTGGCGGCCTGAGGAGAACTTTGAATAACAGATTCCTTTGTCAGCGTACCCAGGTATCTCTCGTTTCTAGTGTGCTCGTGTGCAGGCGAATCCTTTGTGAGTGAATTTCATCATTAATTTGGAGCAGATCCCCGCTTGCAAGTGTATCCTAGCAAAGTCACAACGTGTAGCAGTAAATTTTACACTCTTCATGTGTATATATTATATATATATACATGTTGCGGTACACATTTTCAGAATATGATTGCGAAGCCTCGAGAAAGCATCCTAGCTGCTGAGTCAGATGCGAGTCTTCCCTCACAGTCGGTGAGGCTGCAGGTTTGGTGCGGGGGCTCCTGGAAATGCGGTCGTCTCTAGTCTGTGTATGCCCACCCACTCGAGTGTATCTCTAGTCTGTGTATACGGAGTCTGTGTAGAGTCTGTTTCATCCTGGTCACGATCCCTGGCCCCATTGCCCAATGCCCAAAAAAAGGTGCTGTGTCCTGGAATGCCACGGCGCTCGATGTTTAACGTATCGTTCAGGCACCTGCTGGTGGAGTCGCCAGGCATGTTCTCCAGACTGACATGGCCACATTATCTGTCCGAAACGATCGTCCTCATGCTTTAAACCCAGCCTCGACCTGAGGCTGCTTGGCGGCCTGCGCCGGGGGTTGTGGGAAGGCTCAACACGAGGGCGGGATCCTCACAATGCTCCACCAGGAAGCTTTTGAAATGATCAGTTGCAGTTGATCAGGATTGAAAGCTACGTGTGGTGGCAGTCAAAAACATCATGTGGTCATTGATAAATGCCCTGTCTTAAAAGAAATTGTTTTGAAAGTGACAATTCTAAGGGGATTCAATGCCCATGCAGAAAGTACAGTGTTTTACATTGCAAAGTGGTTCCGTGCTTCATTCCAAGACTGAAGACCTCCGAGAATTGTTTTTTTGGGCCATTTGCGCTGCCTTTTGTGTCGTTTTTCTATGCCCCTCTCTCATCCAGTTCTTCAAAGCAAGATGGAGCCCACGAACCCGAATGCAAACACGTTTGAGTGGTTACATACGCCGATCTTTATCTATTAAGAGAGGGGGGGCCAGCAATCAATCTTTCTACGAAACATTCTCACAGCGACTTCTGTGTACATAAGCATTTGCGACATGTGACTGCTGAACATACACACCTGGCCAAATCCTTTTTCGGACACTCTGATGGGGCACTCTTGCAGAACTG